ACAGCCGTCATACCGCTCAGGAAGGAGACGCGTTCTGTCTCATAGAGATGAACGTACTTTGGTGCGAAAAGTGAAAATCAATTCCAGAACAACAGCAAAGGACCTTGTGAAGATGCTGGAGGAAACAGGTACAAAAGTATCTATATCCACAGTAAAACGAGTCCTATATCGACATAACCTGAAAGGCCACCATAAAAAAGCCAGACTATGGTTTGCAACTGCACATGGGGACAAAGATTGTACTTTTTGGAGAAATGTCCTCTGGTCTGATGAAACAAAAATATAACTGTTTGGCCAAAATGACCATCGTTATGTTTGGAGGGAAAAGGGGGTTGCTTGCAAGCCGAAGAACACCATCCCAACCGTGAAGCACGGTGGTGGCAGCATCATGCTGTGGGGGTGCTTTGCTGCAGGAGGGTCTGGTGCACTTCACAAAATAGATGGCATCATGAGGAAGGAAAATTATGTGGATATATTGAAGCAACATCTCAAGACATCAGTCAGGAAGTTAAAGCTTGGTCGCAAATGGGTCTTCCAAATGGACAATGACCCCAAGCATACTTCCAAAGTTGTGGCAAAATGGCTTAAGGACAACAAAGTCAAGGTATTGGAATGGCCATCACAAAGCCCTGACCTCAATCCTATAGAACATTTGTGGGCAGAACTGAAAAAGTGTGTGCGAGCAAGGAGGCCTACAAACCTGACTAAGTTACACCAGCTCTGTCAGGAGGAATGGGCCAAAATTCACCCAACTTAATGTGGAAGGCTACCCGAAACGTTTGACCTAAGTTAAACAATTTAAAGGCAATGCTACCAAATACTAATTGAGTGTATGTAAACTTCTGACCCACTGGGAATGTGATGAAAGAAATAAAAGCTGAAAGAAATAATTCTCTCTACTATTATTCTGACATTTCACATTCTTAAAATAAAGTGGTGATCCTAACTGACTTAAGACAGGGAATCTTTACTAGGATTAAATGTCAGGAATTGTGAAAGACTGAGTTTAAATGTATTTGGCCAAGGTGTATGTAAACTTCCGACTTCAACTGTAACTTAAAAGCATGGCTGACATGTATTGGGGTGCACAATCGTGGATTGATTTAAAAACCCATCTTAAAATTAATTCTAAAACTCACAGGCAGCCAGTGCAGAGACCTTAAAACCGATGTAATGTGTGCTCTCCGTCTGGTCTACGTCCGTACCCGTGCTGCAGCATTCTGTATGTTTTGTTTGAGCATGTATTCTCGATTTGTCTCTTCTTTGTTTTTCTTCATGTACTGTAATAACTCTATCATTTCAATCATAACTTAGTAAATTGCACTCTGTGAAAGCCACATATTGTCATTCTTTGAATGCCTCTGGTATAAGGTACCCTGATGTCCTCTATTTAAGTTAGCTGTGTGGGGCTTTGATGAATCTGTGTTTGTGTGTGTGTGTGTATGATGGAGGGCCACGAGCTGTCCTTTGTCACTGTGACAAGTGCTGACATGATGGGTTAAAAGGGTTAACAGAGGCAAAACGCAGTAACTACGTTTTTCCCCCCTGACAGACAGCAACACAATGTGCTTCACAGGAAGAAAAAAAATAAAAACAATGAAAATATTAACTACACAACAAACATAAGAGGATAAAAAACAAAAGAATACCAATAAAAACTGAACAACTTAAAAGCACCCTAAGGAAAAGCAAAGCTAAAAAGGTGTGTTTTAAGATCTCTTTTAAAAATGTCCACAGTTTCGGCCACCTTCAGGTTCTCTGGCAGGCTATTACAGATGCTGGGGGCATAGTAACTAAAGGCTGCCTCTCCATGCCTCTTGGTCCTAAGCTTCGGGATAGTTAAAAGGCCAGTGCCAGAGGACCTGAGGGATCTACTGGGTACATACAGTTGAAGTCGGAAGTTTACATACACTTAAGTTAAAAAGAAACTAGTTTTTCAACCACTCCACAAATTTCTTGTTAACAAACTATAGTTTTTGCAAGTCGGTTAGGACATCTACTTTGTGCATGACACAAGTAATTTTTCCAACAATTGTTTACAGACAGATTATTTCACTTAGGATTCACTGTATCACAATTCCAGTGGGTCAGAAGTTTACATACACTAAGTTGACTGTGCCTTTAAACAGCTTGGAAAATTCCAGAAAATGATGTAATGGCTTTAGAGGCTTCTGATAGGCTAATTGACATCATTTGAGTCAATTGGAGGTGTACCTATGGATGTATTTCAAGGCCTACCTTCAAACTCAGTGCCTCTTTGCTTGTACATCATGGGGAAAATCTAAAGAATCAGCCAAGACCTCAGAAAAAATATTGTAGACCTCCACAAGTCTGGTTCATCCTTGGGAGCATTTTCCAAAACACCTGAAGGTACCACGTTCATCTGTACAAACATAGTACGCAAGTATCAACACCATGGACCACCAGCCGTCATAAACACCGCTCAGGAAAGAGACGCGTTTCTGTCCTCATAGAGATAACGTACTTTGGTGCGAAAAGTGAAAATCAATTCCAGAACAACAGCAAAGGACCTTGTGAAGATGCTGGAGGAAACAGGTACAAAAGTATCTATATCCACAGTAAAACGAGTCCTATATCGACATAACCTGCTATTTTGGTCACATTCCTAATGTGTGATTCGAAATTGAGTTCAGAATCTAAAATAACACCTAGGATTTTTTACCTGGTGTTTTATCTTTATTGCCTGTGAATTAAAATGTGCGGCCAGATTCTCTCTGTGTTTTGGCTCCAACAATAAATACCTCGGTCTTGTCTTGATTTAGCTGGAGGAAGTTGTGAGCCATCCAAGTATTTAAATCAGTAATACAATCTAATAATTCATCCATGGAGCTAAAATCCTCGGGTGACACAGAAATGTAAAGTTGTGTATCGTCTGAGTAGCAGTAAAAATCAATGCTGTGCTTTCTGATAACGCTGCCAAGGGGTAACATATATAAACTGAACAGTACCGGACCCATGATACTCCATGATATATTCTGATCAACTGGCTTGTTCTTGTGTCAGGAAACTAAATACCACATTAATCAGATAATATACCTGGCCATTACAACAGATCAAAGATTTTTGACCACATTCGTAGTTACTGTGTTTTGCCATTGTAGGGGAGTATAGGGCTGCTGATACTATACTGCCCATAGAACAAGGTCACAGTGACACACACACACACACACACACACACAGGTTTACACATAGCCGGTCCAATTAATCCAGCCAACAACAGAAAGGGTTAATTAATCAGAAGGAGTGAGAGATTTGCATGTTTCTCAATCATTTCTTTGTTCTGTACAGGACACCTACAGATTACACAGCTCTGCCAAATTGCCATGTATACAAACGTGAGTAAATCACAACAAGTATATGTGGCCCCTTTCCTTCCCTTCCACTCAGTCTCATTGCCCCTGTAGATGACTTTCATTAGTAATGAGCAGGACACAGGAGGAGATAAAGGAGGAGGAACAGAGACACGGCCAAATGTCTGCTGCCTTGATTAATATACATACCTAATTCTGTTCTTTTATATACGGCCGGCAAATTAAAAGAGCTAGCCACTTCATTCCGCTGCTCCGTGTTTCCATTAGCCAGAGTGTGGGGAAAGGGGAGGCCCAGGTTAGGGATGACGCTGGTGGCAGCCTGGCTGTGTAAATTAGTGGGCGTGTCCCGGGGCTTGATCAGTACAGTATGTAGAGTATTCATCAAGAGGCAATTCCTCCCTCACACACACCCTGGATGCTTTTAATTGCTCCTGGTAAAGTAACTTTAGGAGGCGTTACAGGGTGGGACATGGAGAGGCATCCTTTGCTTTGCCAGGGGTCCTTCATTATTTTAGTTTGCTTCATTGCGTGTGTGTGTGTGTGTGTGAGAGTGAGAGAAAGAGAGAGAGAGAGAGAGAGACAGGCTGTCGGGATCAATTTAATTTTTTGGTGCAGATGCACAACTGTTGGGGGTGTGTTACGTCTGTATGTGTTGGGAGGGAAATTGCCCAAATTGGGAGGGAAATTGCCCACAGACACCAGCAACAAGTTTAGTGGTCCTGACCTATGGGGACACATTCATTACGAGAGGGAGGATCCAAGGACAAAGCACTGCCCTAACAATAGAGACCATGCCTTCAGTAGCACAGCAGAGGTGCAATAGCAAAGGGGGCCTATGTGGTCCTCTGTAGCTCAATTGGTAGAGCATGGCGCTTGTAACGCCAGGGTAGTGAGTTTGATCTCCGGGACCACCCGTATGTAAAAATGTATGCACGCATGACTGTAAGTCGCTTTGGATAAAAGCGTCTGCTAAATGGCATATTATTATTATTGTATTAGGTCTGAGAGCAGAGTTCCATTTGAAGGACTGTGTGACAGTGTAAATACTGCAGCACTGAATGACGCTTGCTTGGTAGGACACAGATGTTTACAGGCTATATACGTTCCTGTAGGGATTTACCCGGACAGGTCAAATGGCCAGAAAACACCCCTGGAAAACTCCTGCCCCTGATGAAAGAGTAAAGTTTCAGTGGACCTTATTTAAAAAATCACCACTTATATTCAAAAAGAAAAGTATACATTTGAGTTAAGGTGCAAATCCAGGTGTGAAAATCATAATGAGCAGACGAAAGTGAAGTAATAGGGCAAAAAAAGAAAGACCTTGAATTTTCATCAGTGCGCAGGCTGGTACTGGTGTCAATGTTATCTGTGGTATGGATGTCCCCATCCTTCCCTCCCCCACCTCAGCCCATCTGTGCCCACCAGCCTCCTCTACTCAGAGCCCAGTGCAAATTAGGTCTGATTTTAATAACCCAAGGGGAGGGACTGTTGCATTGTTTTACTAATAGGGAGGAGGGGTATTTGTTGAGAGTTAATTTAATAGATTGCTTTGAAGACTAAGTATGTGTGCGTGTGTGTGTTTACCAACATGTGGTGGTTGTGTCGGTGATGCGCATCTCTATAAAATTGAGAGGGTTGAGTGTTGCTCCAAGACACTTGTGCAGAGCCATGCTTTGCGACGGACCATTGTCAGGAGAGAGCCTACTGAATCCAGCTCAGACAGAATTCCACTCACTGGGGACGGTTGATGTCTTGTCAGAATACACCCTGATGTTACCGGAAGAAACCTTGGAGGACCACAGCAATACCAGCAAATGTGAGTTTGATAAACGTGTTGTAATTTACATAATCATAAAAAGTGCATAGGTTTATAATGTATCATGTACACATAATTATGTTTTATCATAATCATTGTCTTACGGTTGAGGTTAAAGTTTTGGTTGCTATAATTGGTTTTGAATACATCAGATTCAGTATTTACCTCATTCTTTATTAATACAAATAATGTTGCTAGATAAAACCTGCAACCTAAACACACCAGTGAGATAAGAACGTTTTTGCTGAGAAATATAAAGATTAAACGTTTAATGTTCCCACATTGACTTCTTTTTGATTACTGTAATATTTTTTTTTTTAAACATATAAGTCTCTTATCATGAACAAGCTGTAAGAAAGACTAAAACTTCACAATGTTCATGTTGATGTCATGCAAAGGTAATTTTCAGCACAGTATTACCTGTAATTCCAGTGGGGCCAGGGTGCAATGAGAAGTCATGTCCACAGGGGGCAGTATGGCCCTGTGCTGGCTGTGGAGAGTCCATCAGAGACCCTGTGGTGCTACAGGTAGGGTCAGACCAGCAGTGGCATTCAGGGTGCCTGTACTGTGATGAGTGCCACTGTCCCCTGGGAGAGAGTGTCAGCTGCTTCCTGAGGGATGGGAGGACCTTGTGTAGGACAGATTATGCGCGGTGAGTCAGCAGCTTTGGTGGGACAGTGGAGAAGTTGTAGCGATAAAGATGAACATGTAAAGTCAACTTTGTGTGTATATTATGTATGCATTTTTTAACTCTTTGAACATGTTTGTTGATGCTGTGTGTGTGTGTGTTTGTGTGTGTGTGTGTGTGTGTGTATGTGAACAGCTTCCAACCTTTCGTTTTGTAGTTTTTAACCATGAATGTCTTTGTCATTGTTTTGTGTATTAGACTATTTGCAGAGAAGTGTGGAGGCTGCGGGGAGGCAGTACTGTCCTCTGACCTGGTTGTGAGGGCAGGAAGACAGAACTATCACCCTGACTGTCTGCAATGCTCGCTCTGTGGTGCATTACTCATGCCTGGGGATAGCTTCACCCTGGGGCCAGGAGGACCATGCTGCCAGGCAGAGCACACGATGCCAGAGCAACAGATCCAAAAAGCAGACACACTAAAAAGAAGAAAAGGTCTGTGTAGTAGTCGCATGTGAAGTTTATATGCATAATAAAATATGGATAATTTCTTCCTTTAGAGTTAATGATAATTATGAAACTGTCTCAAAGGTCTGTCTCATCTTTCCCTGCAATCGGTAAGTTTAATGTTCCTTAAGTTAAGTTGAATCATTCTCACCTATGTCAGGGTCAGGGAGAAGAGGAGGAGTTTGTGAGAGGATGTGGTTGGACAGGGGTAGGAGTAGAGGGGTGCGGGTGCGTACCGTCCTCAGTGACACCCAGCTGAAAGCCTTGTGCTCCTGCTACTCCCAGACCCCCCGGCCCGACGCGGCAGTCAAGCTCCGGCTGAGTCAGCTGACTGGCCTCAACAAGCGGGTCATCAGGGTGTGGTTCCAGAACAAACGCTGCAAGGACAAGAAGAGCCACGCCAAGAAAAGAGGCAGACCAGTGTCAGACTTGGACTTCACAGTGAGTAGTGTGTGTGTGTATGTGTGTGTGTGTGTGTGTGTGTGTGTGTGTATGTGTACACTGTTGATCGTCACTTACTATGTTCCAGGCCCTGCTGTGTGCTGCAGCCAGACCGATGGTGGTCCTCTCTCCTGAGCCCCCTGACTTTGCCCTCCAGATTTACGTCTATGAGTCATCATGGCAACCACTTGACGGCCAAATCAAGCTCTCAGCTGACCATGACGACCTGACCCTCACTCATATTTCTCAGGTAAATCAGAGTGCATATCAGGTAGTGTAATGTCCCTTTGTGTGACATATCAGACCCTGATTATGACTGCACTTATCACTCTACCAACAAGCTAACCTTAGACCTACACCTTATACTGTAGATTGAGACTATAACTGATTGGTATTAGCTACTCCTTTATCCAGTTTCATCAGTCAGCCCTAACTGTGGTGGCTAACACTCATAATTTCTCTTTCCCTTCCCCTCAGAGCACGTGTTTTTCAGAAGACCTGGGTTCTCCACAGCAGCAGAGTGATGAGCACTCCGTCACCATTCTGACTATCTAGACAACCACCATCCCAATACCCTCACTGAACTGTTCCTGTAACTATGCAGAGTTATCAATAACCTGTGTCTAATCTGAAGGGGCTTCAAACAGCTGTCAATCATGTAATTAGATATTTAATGTATGTTATAATTATTAAACTAGTTCCCAAAACAGGAGAATGTTGTGTTGGGAAAAAAAAGATGACATAATTTGGGTCCCAGTTCTGCATGTTCTGTTTTCTGTATGGGTAAATGAATTAAAGGTTATGGATCAATGAGACAAAACAAAATGTGGCGCCATGCAGCATACAGTGATTTTAGACCATGAAGTTTCATCCAGACCTCCAGTCATCACATGAAGCTATCTTCTGGCAGACTATGGTGTGATCTGTCAACATGTGACTTAAACACAGTCTGTTTGTATAGTCACAGTCTGGGATTTTGCGTTTGGTAATTAATCAAATCCCCACAAAACCAAACAACAAGCAGAACCAAGCAGTCAGATGTCATCTCTATTGGAACATATTTCACTCCTAAGTGTGAAACTCGTATTCTGAACTGATTGATAGTCATGGAAATGATTATTCACTCTGTCTACTTCCTCATCCACTTTACAACAACTCTAGTGTGAAACCTATTATTGTAGCAAGCTTTGATTTATAATCTGTGATCTAAGTCAACTCTGAACAACTTGTTCCTTCTTACTGTTTGACTTATTATATAATGCCATTTAGCAGACGCTTTTATCCAAAGCGACTTACAGTCATGTGCGCATACATTTTTACGTATGGGTGGTCCCGGGGATCGAACCCACTACCCTGGCGTTACAAGCACCATGCTCTACCAATTGAGCTACAGAGGACTTGCATTCTAGCTTTAATAAAAAGGCATTTGGGGTTTGCAAAGCTGTATCAGGCAGATAATGTGAATGTCCATATCACCCCACAAGGGGGCAATACAGTCTAAACCTTTTCCAGTTCTTCAATGGCAAAGGTGCAAGATCCAACAAGAAGTTAACACAATAGCACCCTAAAATCCATCTAGCCTGTGTAAAAATTGAAGACCGACATCTTCGAGGGACTCTGTTAGTACAATGTTTCTTGTCTGTGGGCTGTCCTTAAATAGAGAGATAGTTGGCTGCAGAGCAGTTGCAATTAGGTTCAATTTTGGCCTGTCTGCTTTGCATACCCCTTTGTACGAGCCCTCTCAATGTCACAGCTCCCACTACCACTGCATGCATTCTCCCATAATGTCTTTCAGCCATTTTATCACTTCCCACTCAAAACAAACAAACAAATACATGTTCACTCATTTTCATCTATAACTTTTTAACTCCTTCATACCCTTCTTGTATGAAGAATAGAGTGCTACCTCATCTCTCTTTGTCTCTTTATCCCAAAAGTCATTCTACAGCTGCACTATTGAGAGCATCTTGATTAGCTGCATCACTGCTTGGCAGTGCTTGACTTGGGATGGAAGAAGCACAGGAGCTGTCTTTTTCCAAGTCGGTCCATTAGACTATGTTCACCGAAATTCACAAATGACATTATGATATAGAGACCTCTGATTATTCACTGTTAACGGTCTATACACATTTTCAATGACTTCTGCATGACATTTAACCACATTTTCATGACTATTATTATAGCCTACATGAAAAAGTAAGCAATATTGACAATGGAAAGCTGCTGTGTCTGATCCCATGTAGACCTACCACCTCCTGCCGTTGTGCCCTTGATCAAGGCACTTAGCCCCCCACATAGAACTACACTGTTAGTCATATGTTGTCAACATGTGGTCAACCATCCATCTGGAGAGCTCCTGGGTGTGCATGCTTTTTCAACATTACAACCAAATAGTTTTTTCTTTATAAAATGATTCCCTCATTCAATAAATCAAGGATGAAATAAGGTAGGCTACTTCAAAGCAAGGTATCTAATTAGACATGTTTATATATAAGGCTAAAATATTCATGTTTGGGGGAGATCTATAGACAGAAAGTTATTTGTAAATTAGGCTATTCATAGAATATTTTTTACATTGTCACAATTACATGGCTACTGTTTAATAGAGGGGAATCCCAGCTTTCCAATGGTGCAGACTTATTTAGGCTCTACAGTGCTGGGGGAAAGGCAACAATGAAATTAATGCTTAGCTAGCTATAATTAACTAGCGAGATAACTGCTACAAGTTATGTTTTGAATTGGTGATCTATTTAGTCTGTCTGTCATTATTCTACACCTGCTGCTGAAATGTCGCGTTCTCTCTCCACGGGCAACGACCCACTCGCACTGGCACACACACAGCACAACAGACATGCACTGAAGGGTCATTCCGATAATGGCTGATATGTTGTTTTTTAATTGATTGATCATATTTAAAAGTGGGCTTTCATGAATTACATTAACAACAATTTCCATGACTTTTCATTACCTTACAAACCCTAATTTGACAACTTGGAACAGCATATCATGTCATTCAGGCTGGCACATTTTCAATCTGCGCAATCTCAAATAGCCTACTGTCACTCACAGATTCACAGACTAGCAGCAAATAAATTTGAACAAAGCGGAATCAGGAAATGAATGCCCACTTCATTCGGCTTTCATCAACCATTTTTGCCTCTGTGTGTGAATCTGGGCCAGCGATAGGCTACTTTGTTTTTATAGAGGAGCTGGTACGCAATTCCCCCAAAATTAGAAGTGCCTGTACAGCGTTCCGGACAGCTCCGGACCAAGTCAAGCACTGCCGCTTGGTACGGCAAATGCAAGGCACCCGACTGCAAGGTGCTACAGAGGGTAGTGTGTATGGCCTAGTACATCACTGGGGCCGAGGTCCCTGCCATCCAGGAGCTCTATACCAGGCGGTGTCAAAGGAAGGCCCAAAGAATTGTCAAAGACTCAAGCCACCCAAGCCATAGACTGTTCTCTCTTTTACCGCACGGCAAGCGGTACCGATGCAGCAAGTCTGGAACCAACAGGACCCTGAACAGCTTCTTCCCCCAAGCCATAAGACTGCTAAAAAAGACTGCAATTGCTCTCTTGCACTGACTCTATGCACACACTCACACACTCTTTACACTGTCACTCCAACACACACACATACACACTATATACAGTGCCTTCGGAAAGTATTCATACCCCTTGACTTTTTCCACATTTTGTTACGTTACAGCCTTATTCTAAAATTGATTAAATACATACAAATGGTTAGCAATCTACACACAATACCCCATAATGACAAAGCGAAAACAGTTTTTTTTAGAAATGTTTGCAAATGTATAAAAAATCTAAAACAGAAATACCTTATTTACATAAGTATTCAGATCCTTTGCTATAAGACTCGAAGTTGAGCTCAGGTGCATCCTGTTTCCATTGATCATCCTTGAGATGTTTCTACAACTTGATTGGACTCCAACTGTGGTATATTCAATTGATTGTACATGATTTGATAAGACACACACCTGTCTATATAAAGGTCCCACAGTTGACAGTGCATGTCAGAGCAAAAACAAAGCCATGAGGTCCAAGGAATTGTCCGTAGAGCTCCGAGACAGGATTGTGTTGAGGCACAGATCTGGGGAAGGGTACCAAAACATTTCTGCAGCATTGAAGGTCCCCAAGAACACAGTGGCCTCCATCATTCTTAAATGGAAGAAGTTTGGAACCACCAAGACGCTTCCTAGAGCTGGCCGCCCGGCCAAACTGAGCAATCGAGGGAGAAGGGCCTTTTTCAGGGAGGTGACCAAGAACCCGACGGTCACTCTGACAGAGCTCTAGAGTTCCTCTGTGGAGATGGGAGAACCTTCTAGAAGGACTACCATCTCTGCAGCACTCCACCAATCAGGCCTTTATGGTAGAGTGGCCAGACGGAAGCCACCCCTCAGTAAAAGGCACATGACAGCCTGCTTGGAGTTTGCCAAAAGGCACCTAAAGACTCTCAGACCATGAGAAACAAGATTCTCTGGTCTGATGAAACCAAGATTGAACTCTTTGGCCTGAATGCCAAGCGTCACGTCTGGAGGAAACCTGACACCATCCCTACGGTGAAGCATGCATCATGCTGTGGGGATGTTTTTCAACGGCAGGGACTAGGAGACTAGTCAGGATCGAGGCAAAGATGAACAGAGAAAAGTACAGAGAGCTCCTTCATGAAAACCTGCTCCAGAGCACTCAGGACTGGGGCGAAGGACACTAAGGTGCCCAAGAACACTAAGGTAACCTGCCTAAATGACTACCGACCCATAGCACTCACGTCTGTAGCCATGAAGTGCTTTGAAAGGCTGGTCATGGCTCACATCAACACCATTATCCCAGAAACCCTAGACCACCATCATTAAGTTTGCCGACGACATAACAGTGGTAGGCCTGATCACCGACAACGATGAGACAGCCTATAGGGAGGAGGTCAGAGACCTGGCCATGTGGTGCCAGGATAACAACCTCTCCCTCAACGTGATCAAGACAAAGGAGATGATTGTGGACTACAGGAAAAGAAGAGGACCGAGCACGCCCCCATTCTCATCAATGGGGCTGTAGTGGAGCAGTTTGAGAGCTTCGTTCCTTAGTGTCCACATCACCAACAAACTATCATGGTCCAAACACACCAAGACAGTCGTGAAGAGGGCACGACAAAGCCTATTCCCCCTCAGGAGGCTGAAAAGATTTGGCATTTGTCCTCAGATCCTCAAAACGTTATACAGCTGCACCATCGAGAGCATCCTGACTGGTTGCATCACTGCCTGGTTTGGCAACTGCTCAGCCTCCGACCGCAAGGCACTACAGAGGGTAGTGCGTACGGCCTAGTACATCACTGGGGCCAAGCTTCCTGCCATCCAGGACCTCTATACCAGGCGGTGTCAGAGGAAGGCCCTAAAATTGATCAAAGACTCCAGCCACCCTAGTCATAGACTGTTCTCTCTGCTAGCGCACGGCAAGCGGTACCGGAGCGCCAAGTCTAGGTCCAAAAGGCTAGACTTGGCGCTCTGGTACCGCTTGCCGTGTGGTAGCAGAGAGAACAG